TCTGCATTGAAAAAAAATTTTTATTTTGCTTTGATAAATTTTTTCTTCATCAATTGAAATTTCAATGAATGATTACTAAAATTTTTTGTATAAATTTGAAAAAATTGTGGTTAGAAAAATTATTCAAAAGTTTAAGACAAACTTAAATGATAAAAATTTTTGAACGAATTTGAACAGTGAAAAAAAATTAATTAATTTAATAAATACTAAGGTATAAATAAAATTTTGCATTATTAAATAATGACTTTTGTTAAATTGCACTGTACTTTTTTAACTATTGACGTTTTTAAAGATATAAGCTCATCCCGATATTACACTCATCAAGAGCTTTCATTTGAGCACCCACATGCATTTTTCATATATTTTTCATATTTACATATATATATAACATATATTTTAAAGATATAAGCTCATCCCGATGTTACACTCATCAAGAGCTTTCATTTGAGTACCCACATGCATTTTGATATATTTTTCATACATACATATATGTAATATATATAAATATATGAAAAATTGATGTGGGTACTCAAATGAAAGGTCTTGATGAGTGTAACACCGGGATGAGCTTATATCTTTAAAAATGTCAATAGTTTACAAGTTACAAGGTCATTTCTTAATTATGTATCTAAAAATAGATCATTTTCAAATGCAGTCTAAATACTTATCATTATAAATTGATTATTAGTGAGAATGATATAAAACCTTAAAAAGGCACAACTCCCGTTCAAGACCTTTATAATGATACCAAATTTAACCATAAAAACCGATTTTATCATATTTTTGCTTATTCCCTTAATAAAATAGATTCTTTTGAAAATTATTCTATTTAAATTAATTCTACAAATTTATTCGAATGAAAGAAATAAAATTTTCTTGAACCAACATAAAATTTATCGAAAAAAATAAAATTATTATTATTATTATTAATTTTAAAAGATTAGTTAGTATTGATTTGATAAACAATTTGATAGTTTTCAATACAAAAAATCTTGAATCAAGAAAACAAATTTTCTTCAAAGTAATGTTGTCCTTAAATCAATTTTTTTCAATATACTTTTTGTGCATTTTTTTTTTCTTCAAAAAATGAAATCCGTTTAAAAAATAAAAAATGTTTTTTTAATCAAACTCATTCTCCGTATCGAAATTTCAACAAAACAAACAAAAAATCCAAGTTATCCTTTCGCTAATAAAGACATGTATTTCTTGAACGGGGAGGTGAGACAAAATGAATTGGATTTCCCCCTAGCAGAAGCCATCGATTCAGTAAAAGTATTGAAGAAAAGTAAAAAACTCTTAATCAGAAATTTACTTTATGATGAGTTGCAGTATATAACTATAGTGATAAGGCGTAAGAATACACTCAAACTCATTCATTTATCCTCAGCGTTTTAATCCATCCTCCAAGCTGTCTCTTCTCTGCGCTTGTGAGCTCTCTAAAAATCTTTAATTTTTCTTTTCCGCGACGTCTATGACCGAGAATAAAATACATATTTTTAGCTTTGACGATAATGATAAAGAGAAATTTAAGCCGAACGAGATAGCTAGACCGAGAGGATTTACTTTACTTGGCATATTTTTCTATCAAAGAAATCTTCAACTCTCTAGGACGGAACCAACCAACCCGTTGAAAAATAATAAAAAGCCTTTATAGATATTATACTTTTTAAAAATCTATCTATTCGACTATCTTCAATACTCTTCGTATTTTTGTACCCACTCGACCGTACTAATCGATAGATCCTCGATTATTCCAAGGATTGTGATGATTATTCATCATTATCCGCACATAAGATCCGATCACCACAAATTCAATGGAAAAACATCTGCTATCTTTGTTTCTATTCTATCGATGAGAATAATGGAGTTCGTACCTGTATTGCCGGTTCTACACATGAGACTAGACGTTAGAGATAGGAACTATCAGTGAGGATCAACCAATTGCGCGGGTTTTCGTTAACGAACCCTAGCCGGCAAATATATGCCCACAAGTGTAATGAACGCTTCTGATGAAGCGCCGAGTTGAGGATGGATGGCTTCGGAGATGATTGGTTCGTTCCACTTGCCATGAGTATGGATCTTCGGGCTTTCATGTTTGATAAATTAAAAGTAATAGAACGAGGTAACATCTCTATGTCTGTATACACTTCATCTCCATGAAAATCGGAGAAAATATTACATTTTTGTTAGAAATATAGGTTAAAATTAATGAATCTAATTTGAAATTTTATTTTTTATAATTTTGTGAAGTTGAATTAAAAAATAAAAATAAAATTGCGTTAGTGGAGATTCGAACTCGGATCCTCGAGTTTTTTGTCTTCTGGGCCCATAACCTGTAGAATTAATAGAATAACTAACTTTTGCGTGTTGCAAAAACATTTTAAGCATCTTCTAACAAATTTCAATGCTTTTACGTGAGTACGGATCTTCAAGCTTCCATTTATAATAAATTATAAGTGATAAAATGAGGTAACGCCTCTATGTCTGTATCTACTTGGTCTCTATGAGTAATATAAGTATACAGGAAGCTTCATTAAAAATATAGGTTAAAATTGATAATTTAATTTGTTAAAATTTAGTGAAATTATTGGATTAAAATAGTGATTTAAATATGAAAATGAGATTGAACTACACGGAGAAAATTTTATAGTAGAGTTTATTATCTAGTTATGATATAATCTATTAACTGAATTCGATAGTAGTAAATATTATTTAAATAATTAAGTAAACCATCTGAATTGTAGTATTTACCATCCTGATGGTAGCTACTACTATTATGATGGTAATCAGTAATAATAACTGTTATTATTTTAATTAGTTACTGCTACTATCAAAATTGTAATTCCTAATATAACCTGATGGTTGCAGTTACCATCAGTAATAATAATAACTACTATCTAAGCTAGTAAAAAATATTAAAAAAATTAAGAATCTGCGTTACTATGGATGCATTTCTGAATAAACTATAAACAGCTGTAGTGCACAAAAAATCGGGATTAAATTCGGATTGAAATTGTATTTAAATTTTGATTTGTCTAAAACAAGTTTCAACGCCAAATTTTTCAAAAAAATTTTGAAATTTCCAAAAAAATCAAAATTTTCAATAAAATTCAAATTAGTTTTAAAAAAAAATTTTTAAATCTTAAAAATAATCAAATTTTCAAAAAAAAAATTTTGAAGGGAATTTAAAATATTTTAAAATTTCAAAGAAAAAAATGTGCATTAGCTAAAATATGGATGTAAATAAAGGATTTAATTAAGTAAATTTATATTATTTTTTCTTTCATAAATTTTGATTTGTCTAGAACAATTTTCAACGCCAAATTTTTCAAAAAAATTTTGAAATTTCCAAAAAAATCAAAATTTTCAATAAAATTACAAATTAGTTTTGAAGGGAATTTAAAATATTTTAAAAATTTCAAAGAAAAAAAATGTGCATTAGCTAAAATATGGATGTAAATAAAGGATTTAATTAAGTTAATTTATATTATTTTTTCTTTCAAAATTTTTACAATCTGAGATGGTTACAGTTACCATCTTTGATTGTAACAATTATAATTTATTATAATTACAATTATTATTTTCGATAGTAATCGTTACTATTATTAATAGTAACTATTACAATTGTCAATGATACAACCTATTATTTTGTTACTAATTAATTTTATTACCATTTTAGATAGTAGGAGTTACTATTTTTGTATAGTAGGTAGTATAATTAATTTTTCTCCGTGTAGACTTGACCGGGATTCGAACACAGATCCTTGGGTTAAGAGTCGAGTTTTTTGTCTTCTGGGCCCATAACCTGTAGAATTGATAAAATAACTCACTTTCGCGTGTTATAAAAACATTTTAAGCATCTTCTAACAAATTTCAATGCTTTTACGTGAGTACGGATCTTCAAGCTTGCATTTATAATAAATTAAAAGTAATAAAATAAGGTAACGCCTCAATGTCTGTATCTACTTTGTCTCTATGAGTAATATAAGTATACAGGAAGCTTCATTAAAAATATAGGCTAAAATTGATAATTTAATTTCTTAAAATTCAGTGGAATTATTGGATTAAAAATGAAAATAAGATTGAACTATGGACTTGACCGGGATTTGAACACGGATCCTTATGTTGAGAGTTTAGTTTTTGTCTTCTGGGCCCATAACCTGTGGAATCTATAAAATTATAAACTTCAGCGTGTTCTAGAAGATTTAATCAATCTTTGAGCAAATTTCAACACTTTTACAAATAAAATTCCGGTAAATTTGAGATTCTCAGCATGTATATAGTCAGATAGCAACTCGGGCGAGTGAGGACGAACGATGAAGAGGAGGAATCTAATTCGACACGGCGTAACCGAGTTTGCTAAACCGATTGACCCGGGTAACCATGAGAGGTCTCGATCATTACGCCGGGAATACCTACAGCGTTAATGAAGTGACCCAGAAAGTCCATGCCGGTCGTTCCCGGAGGCGGGTGTCCAATTCGATTAGCCGGCAGCTGCCTTTCCACCATTTTTTAATATTCTATTCTATTTTATTTTATTTTTACTTTTATTATTTTGACCTTTTTTATCGAGCCGTGAACCGAGCCGGCGAGCCTTACTCGTCTTCTTCACCCACATTACGGGCTTAACCAGGGTTGAAGTCCGTCCTCGCCCTCCCATCCTACCTGTGGTGTGCTCGTAAAATGTTGCAATAACGAGCTCGCTCTTCTCCGTCTCGGTTTATCCGCACAATTATTTATAGCGATTAAACTCCTAACGGAGTGCCCAAGAGAGACGAACAAGAAGAAGAGGTTAAGTTAGGTCGTAGGTTGGCTTTTCTGAGGAGATAAAGATAGTGTGATAAATAGAAGGTAGATGTAGATGGACGCGCTGTGGATAGTCAAGAGTCTAATGGGAAGTTGAATTAGATTTAGCGTCAGCGTAATTATAATTAGTAATTACAATTATAAATATCATTAATAGTGCAGTTGCAATTAGTAATTAGTAAATAGTGATTAGTATGATGTGTGTTAAATGTTGAATGTTAAAGAATTATACGCACTAAGAATTTTTTTTTCTAATGCAGATATTCTTAATTAGTGGAAAAAACATTTGAAATAATTATAAAAAAAAAAATTAATGATAATATTTTATTTTTTCTATAAATTTTTACAACAATTAAAATATTTTCATTTTCTAAGTTTATATCATTCGAAAATGCTCTATCACTAGATACATAATTAAGAAATGACCTTGTATTTCGTGAACTATTGACATTTTTAAAGATATAAGCTCATCCTGATGTTACACTCATCAAGACCTTTCATTTGAGTACCCACATCAATTTTTCATATATTTTATATATTTATATATATTATATATATGTAAATATGAAAAATATATCAAAAATGCATGTGGGTACTCAAATGAAAGGTCTCAATGAGTGTAACATCGAAATGAGTTTATATCTTTAAAAATGTCAATAATTAAGAAGTGACCTTGTATCTTGTGAACTATTGACATTTTTAAAGATATAAGCTTACCCCGACAATACACTCATCGAGACCTTTCATCTAAGTACCCACATAAATTTTTTTATATATTTTATATATTTATATATGTATATATAAAAAATATATCAAAATGCATGTGGGTACTCAAATGAAAGGTCTCGATGAGTGTAACATCAAAATGAGTTTATATCTTTAAAAATGTCAATAGTTAAGAAAGTACAGTGCAATTCAACATAATCAAGAAACGACCTTGTATCTTCTGAAATATTGACATTTTTAAAGGTATAAGCTCATCCCGATGTTACACTCATCGAGATCTCTCATTTGAGTACCCACATCATTTTTTCATATATTTATATATGTTATATATATGTATATATGAAAAATATATCAAAATGCATGTGGGTACTCAAATAAAAGCTCTTGATGAGTGTAACATCGGAATGAGCTTATATTTTTGAAAACTTTAATAATTAAGAAAGTACAGTGCAATTTAATAACAGTTATTATTTAATTAAGCATAATTTTTTTTATTTATAGTTCACAAGTCACGGCTGTCACATAGTGACTGCAAAGTTGCTAGTAATTAATTAAATTGACTAAATATTTTTAACTTAGAGAAGAAATAATATTTTTTAAAATTCTATACAATTTTAAAAAAAGATTTTTATTTTATAATTTAATACTTGTTCAGAAAAAATTATCAAAAAAATTTTTTTTTGGCTTTCTATGTGCGTATAATTCTTTAATTTGTAATCGTTGGATTGTAATTGCAATAAAATAAAAAATAATTGTAAAAAAATAAAAAAAAACGAAGTAACTATAGAGAAGAATTACGAAAATTTTGTTCCAGAGGTGACGATGTTCAACGATCGATCGAGTTGCTGGACAAGGTGCTCTCTGAATACGACGAGCACAGCAGTATCGAGATCGAGGCTCCTGGAGACGAGACCGGCGAACTCGAGGAAGGTAGCAGCGCCTCGGGCGTCGGTGAAGCCGTTGATGAGGCGGACGCCGACGCCGATGGGCAGGTTGGAGGACGTGACAGCAGTACTGAGCCCAGTATTGGTCTCACTCCCGAGGACGAGAGCCCTTCTTTAGGTACGCTTCACTAAATACTCTCCATACATCTATACATATATTTATGTAGAATAGAATGGAGTTAGGGAAGAGAAGAAACTCTATCTCTTCTCTTTGAAAGCTGTTTATTCAGCTCGCTCCTATTCTCGGATCAGCGTTTAGTTCTGTATCCGGTAACATAGAAAGTAGTAATGTATAATGTGAAAAAGGAAAAATAAGAGAAGAAGAAAAGAAAATGAATAAAAAATATTACATAGAACTTGATTGCTCGAGAATAACGGAAGCGAATGTTTAGACAAGAATGTCGGGAGGAGTAGCCACTGCATTTAAGTTAGCGGTTTGTCATTTTTTAATTAAGCTTTTATTATTAAAGGATAAAGATTATTGTGGTGAATTTAATTTATAAAAAAATTTACGAAGGAGAAAAAATTTATATTATCTATTTTATTAAGAGAATTAGCAAAACTTTGTGGCCAGTGTATTTATATGTATGATAAAATGGGTTTTTATGGTTAAATTTGGTATCGTTGGAAAAGTCTTGACCTGGAGTTGCCTTTTTATGGTTTTATATAATTTCTCACTATTAGTCAATTTATGATGATAAGTATTTAGGCTGCATTCAAAAATTCGATATCTCTGTATACAAAATTAAGAAATGACCCTGTATCTTGTGAACTATTGACATTTTTAAAGATATAAGCTCATCCCGACATTACACTCATCGATACCTTTCATTTGAGTACCCACATCAATTTTTCATATATTTATATATATTATATATGAAAAATATATCAAAGTGCATGTGGGTACTCAAATGAAAGCTCTTGATGAGTGTAATATCGGGATGAGCTTATATCTTCAAAAATATCAATGATTAAGAAATGACCTTGTATCTTGTGAACTATTGATATTTTTGAAGATATAAGCTCATCCCGACATTACACT